TGCTCAGCTGGTTGCTGACAAGGACGCTAGGGCCGCTCAATGGGGAAAGAACAAAAGAAGGGGAAGAGAAGACATAAGGAACACACAGGAGATTTGTACACGTGGAGTCTGACACGCTGGTGAAACACAAGAACGGAAGTGTCCAGAAGAGCCTTCTGTGTACAGGGCTTGAACTCAGAATTCAGGCTAGTGATGCAGACGTGCACTTCCTCAAAGAATCTGGGGTTGACTGAGGCTGTTGCTATTTTTCAGCGTGGTTACATAGTCTTGATTCTAAATCCTTGCAGGCAGAGTCCCTACCCCACATCTGGGATGGTTCGTGGCCGCTTCTCCCTCTCCTCTCCATCCTTGACCACTCTGCCTCTCTAGTGTAGATCACAGAGTCCCTGTCCTCCCCGAAAGCCTTGTCATTCCTAGCTGGACGTGGAAAATTACTTTCAAAGGGGACTCTGGGTTTCCATTTACCTAGAAAGGCCTCCTTGAAGAGACTTCCTGAAAACCTGTATTTTAGACACCTTATCCATAAATTCCCCTTTTGGCCACGCTTGCTCACATTTTCCGTAAGCATCCTTCCGCAGACACAACTCCCCACTTGCTACTTCAGAGGTCGCAGGGCGGGGTCAGTTTTGGCACGGATGTATGCTGGAAATCGTCAGAAATTCCTAACAAATCTAAATTCAAAGCATAAGATTACACAACATGCAGGCACGTTACCAAAACTGTCCCCAAACACTCAGATGACCAAGGCAGAGAGTAGGATAATATAGTTGAAAAAACACGCCGCATCTATGGGTCCGTGACGTCGCCAGTGCAGGGTCACGGCCAGGGGTGATTTCTGTGGTATCTATGCCCATTAATCGGCGATGGGGAAACAGCCCACAAGGGAAACATTTACAGGTCAATCATGTTTACTTGGTACTTGGGCTTCACAAACAAGGCCTCGGCCACGAGAAAACGCGTGCAGTGACTTCTGCAGGTCGCTAGTACACAGTAGGTGCACGAGGAAAATGCATGTCTTTCCTTAACCTTGCAGTCCAGCTCGTCCATGTTCATGGCTTATCACGTGGTCAGATCATCACGTGCCGGGAATCTGCTCACGGTCTCTCGTCCTCCCATCTGCCCGGTCAGCCGTCTGGGAGAGCAGGCATTCCCGTCTCCGTGAAACAAACGTTGCATCTCGGAGAGCTGTGTCGTTAGCTCGGGTCCCCCAGTGACCTCAGTGGCCCCCCTGCAGCTGCGTGTCACCCCGGGTCTGCACCCGGAGCCCTCGCTATCCACCGCGCCATCTTCTTCTCTTCACCCATCAGATACTCACACTCGAGATTCTCACTCTGTCTTCAAACTTCCTTTTCTGTGATTCTCTGAAAAATCTGCTACAGAACGGTAGACCTTCTCAAGCCCAATTCCTTCCTGGCTGCGTTCTCTGGACTCTGTCCATGCCGTCCAGCCCGTCTCTCCCCACCCCGTCTCAGCCTCGCCTCTACTACAGAATGGTCTCCAGAGGCGATGTTGGAAGATTAGGTAAAGATTCAACTTCTCGATGACTGAAGAGCTCAGATCACATCACGAGCTTTACTCACACTCATGCTGGCCAGTCTGTCAATGGTTCTTGGGCCCCTGGGTGTGTCTGTGTGCCGGGTGTGTGTGTGCATGTGTGTAAATTCTTTCACCCTCTCGCCACCGTTTTCCAGATAAGGAAACAGGAGCTGGGAGCACTTTTCCCTGGTCCCAGGCTGTCTGATGGTATACTCTTTCCTCGACAACAGAAATCCTCACATATCTGTCCATAAACAAGGGCTAGATCATCACAAAGTTCCCACCAATCCACAGCAAAACAAGAACAGAGCAATATTGTAAATGGAGAGGGTATGGTGTGGGTCAGTATAAAGACACGTTATTGGCAAGAACCATCTTTTAGGCTGAGATTATGTCCTTTCTGCCTCTTTAGTGTTAAAGTTTCTTTCCTTTGTGAAATGATAATGAAAATAGGTGGTAATTTTTTTTGGATGACTTGATGGTAATGTCCTTACTTGGTACCATGAAAAGTAGGGAACTCTATGGTAACTTTGTAGGTCCCATCCACTTAACGTCTACCAAAAGGGTCCAGATGAAATATTTACATGTTATCAGCCAAGCCCACAATGGTGATTTGTGTTTCAGGCCGGTATTTTGAAACGACTGTGTTAAGAGTAACGCTCTTTAGAAAGCAGTTACTGGATAAGCAAAAGGCAGAGGGTCGAGCCCACAGGGCATGGGTCTGTTAAACACGTAAGTGGTAGGAGCAGGGGAAAGAAACAGTGATTTCACAATATCCCCAAGCATTTTGCCTGGGTTTTTGTAAATGTGATTGTGAATTTAAATTCCCAGCTTGACGTTTAGAACGTCTCTAAAAGTTCTCCTGAAAAAAAAATTTTTTAAGATTTTATTTATTTTATTTTAGAGAGAGAGCATGAGTTGGGGGAGGGGCAGAGGGAGAGACTCCCCAGCAGGGGTCCCACCAGCACAGAGCCCAACTCAGGGCTCGATCTCAAGACCCTGAGGTCATGACTGCAGCCAAAATCAGAAGTCCAGGGCTTGACTGACTGGGCCACTCAGGCGCCCCTTGAAGCATTTTGTATATATAATATTTTTACCTCTGTTACCCTCTTAAGAGGTACATATAACATTTTGGGTGTTACCCCCACCTTAGTGACCTATGCAGACAGATAAAAGAGAAAGACCTTTCTTCCATATCTTCCTATTGGATTAAGAGTCACTCTTCTCTCTTTAAAACATACCCCTGTGTCTAAACTGTTGCTCTGTTCTCGAGAAAAAGAGATTTGCTCTGTCCTTTGATCCTTTCCAGTCTGCCCCATCTAATTCAAGGAGAAGACCGCAGACCCCCACTTGGAATAGTCTCCCTACAGGGCATCTCTAATCAGTCACTCGCTCGGAACTGAGAACACATTTTGCCATAAAACAGTATAAATGGTGGTTACATTCTCAGAATCCCTCCCAGATGTTTGCTTACCATGCACAAAGGCAAGGCACAGCCTTGGTTTAAAAGCTCAGCTTAGAGTCCTCCCTTCAGAGCAGACAGAGGAGGATGGACACCTGGAAGCTGGACGTCCACGCTCCCTGATCCCGGGCTCCAGCCCCTCCCTCCACACTGTCCTCCATGCCTGCAGGCCCACCGTCGCTCTGCCCTCTCCTCTGCATCCCTCCCCAAATACTGAAGCTTCAGAATTATCGTCCTCACTCTCTCCCACCAAAGCACCCGTTTCCTCTCCACAGTGTCTCCGGGAGGTGAGAGAAGAAAGCAGTCTAGCCATCAAAGGTTCATGTGTAAACAGTCCTTAATAAGGGGCTCCAGATTTCAGACGCTGGGAGGAGGCGAGCGTAAGAGACTCAGGCCATGGAGCACCCACTGTGCCCAGGCTGTTCCTTTTTTTTCCGACCCATTTTTCCCGTGACTCCAGTCCTGAGACCTCACAGTCCCCGGATAACCAGGGGCCCATCCCACAGGCCACACTGGCATTTCTGATGACAGTAAAACACAGGAAATGATTTCCATCTCTGTCTCTGCCACAGTGACTTGCAGAGCCCGGTTTTCCCCTCGCCCCACTGGGAGGTTCTAATGACCCTCCCGAAAAGGGCATCTGGGACAGTCAGCGTCCACTCCTGTCCGCCACACACCCCCAAACAGCTCAACCCGCTAGTCACGCAGACCTGAATAATTCTTGGCCAACATGCAGTCCTGCTCAGGGTCAAGAGGGACCTGCCCCCAGCCGGTGCGGTCACAGCCATGTGAGAGGTGGTGGGCGTCTGTGGCTGCAGGACACGGCTCAGTGCTCCAGGCACCAGCAGAAACTGTCTGACCTTTCGGTGGGAAACGAGTGGGGCGTCCACCCTGGGAATGTCCCCGCTGGGGGCTCTGTGCCGAGGAAGAAGGAACTGTCTCACCGTGGAGACAAGGGCCGCCTGACTGCCTATGCGGTCAGCCCTTACCAGGCAGGCTGATTCACACAAGTCCCCGTCTTCTGTTCGAGGGGCGGCGTGGGTCACAAAGACGGGCATGAGACATTCTTCCGAGCAGTCATTGCGCCGTGGCTACTGATCCGGCAAGAGAAGCCTAATCTAGCATTTGGACCATGTGTAATGTCTCCAGGAAACAAAAGCAATTTAATGCCGTTCACCTGGTTTCAAGGCAGAGGCTCAGTTATCCGAGATTTTCTTGCTCCTGAATGTCACCTGGTGACTGCCCATGTGTTCGTTCACTCGCCGTGCGCCGTTGGCCTGGTGGGTCCTCCACAGACACGGAGCAAAGGGGCCCGTGAGTAAAAGCGCCCAGGAAGGGCTTTCAGCTGATTCTTGGACAAGAATCCAAGCTCAGAAATTCTTACACGGAGTGGGGTGGGGGGTCGTTGCGACAGTAAATAACGCAGTAACAGTACATGCTGAGTTCCTTTGGGAAGGCAACATACCTGTTTTTTAATAATGATTTTCTTTCCTTAATTCTTTTTTTTAAGATTTTATTTATTTATTTGACAGACAGAGACCACAAGTAGGCAGAGAGAGAGGGGATAGCAGGCTCCCCGCTGAGCAGAGAGCCCGATGCGGGGCTCGATCCCAGGACCCTGAGATCATGACCTGAGCCGAAGGCAGAGGCTTAACCCACTGAGCCACCCAGGCGCCCAACATTTCTTTTTTTTAATTATAGGAACATGTTGCTACAATATATGGAATAATTCTAAGACTAGTTCTAAGAATATATCTATTTACAGACTAGAGCAAACGAGCCGTCCTAGAATCTAAGGAACTTGGGAGAGCAGTGAGGCAGTGTGTCTGTGAGTCTGTGTGTGTGCGGACGTGTGTGGCAAAGAGAGGCTCAGAGAGGCACCGACGCGCATCTAGAGTGAGTCCTCAGTCGGGCCCGGTTCACGACGACCGACGAGCGCCGTGCCCCCTCCCCTCAGAAAAGACCGCTACTGACATGTTTTGTGGAATGACGCTTCCTCCAGCTACGATGAGCGAAAACGGAAGATGGAGAAGGACTACCCGAAGAACACGGAGGAGGAATTCTCGGGGGTCAACGGCCAGATCGACGCTGCTGTGGAACTGAATGGTGAGCATCTCCGCCAAGGGCGCTCTCAGAGGAAACAGGTAGTGGGAGATGTGGGCTCTGCTCTGACATGAGGAAAAACAGGCTTCCGCACGGGAGCCCCTGGTCCTGAGTCCCTTACCAGTCTAGCTGACCAGACCGACGTAGAGAAAGAGGACAGAATGTCCGCCACCAAGACTCTGTCTGCAGATAGAAAGTTCTAGATGGATGGCTCCGTCTGTAAGTCGGGTACGCCTCCAAGCCCACCCAGTCAAAACTGCCTCTTTCCTCTTGAAAATGCACATCCCGTCGACCTTCCCAGGGCCTTTCCCCACCCCCTTACCCCATCCTGCAACTTGGAATGGAGCAGGGCAGCCGATCTGAACCGCACAGGGTTGAGGAAACGCGGCTGAATCTCGAAGACCATTTGGCACCTTCCGAGTCTGAAGAACAGGGCTGGGCTCTGGCCAGAAACCCAGAGAGAGGTCCAGACGCGTCGCCTGCTCTTGCGGTGCGGCTAACAACCCCGGGAAATGCCGCGCCGCACAGACACCAGTGCGAGGACACTGGGCGGTCTGTGACCGGTACTGAGTGCGGACCTCGCAGCGACTGCGAGAGGCGAGCGGAGAAAGGGAAGATGAGAACCCACATCTGCACTCGGAGTTTGCACGGCGGGACGTCAGCGGAGTTTTAGGGACTGGCTAGAGGTTTGGGTGGGGAGAGGAGAGGAGGGGTTCCCTGGAGGCGAGCGGAGGCACCAATACGGCTGAGACCCACCTGCTGGGTAAGCGCCCCTGGGAGAATGGTGAGCGGGGCCAGACAGACCAGAAGCGCTGGGTCCGAGGGCTCCAGGAGAGCCGGCGCAGGACGGCAGCTGCCCCCGGTGCGTCCCCAGCCCCCCTCTGGGGCCGCCTCCAAACCCTCCCTTTGTGGCTCTGCCAGTCCTTTTCAGTAACAACATTTTCAACCTTGTCTCTTTTAGGCTACATTTACTTCTTTTCAGGACCCAAAGCATACAAGTACGATACAGAGAAGGAGGACGTGGTCAGTGTGCTGAAATCCAGCTCCTGGATCGGCTGCTAAACAGGAAGGTCTCGTGTTTTCTGGGGAGTGAGCACGACCACCAGCAGCTGGTCCCGGGACCGCAAGGACCGAGGCAGAATGTAGGATCGGGGTCGTCCCGCAGCCTTTGATCCTGAGGGCGCTTAGACTTCATCGGAAATCATTACGCTTCTCAAGTTTTTCATCGTTGCAGATTCATAATTCTAATCTAAATGGACAATTTCTCTAGGGTCAGCGTCACGTAAAATCAGAATTGAAACCATGCTGTCTTCCACTAGACACCCACCGCCTTTTCTCTCCTTACCTAATATACGGAAGCAAATTGATAAATTTGGTTTTTATTTCCAAGAAGAAGCATATTTGTGGATTCCCTGACACATATTATAACTCTCTTTAACAGGAAACATCATTGCCATACAAATGATCATTACTCCTTACCAGCAGTGGCGTTTGCGGCCCCTGCATTCGTCATGATAAGTAGACATTTGTCCATCTGTACCTTGAACCCGGCACAAACAAAATACCGTGTGAGTCTTATTTCTCGTCATTGGAGAACGAGCTCCGTGCACTCACTGGCCTTTGAAGTAGGTCGTAGAGGGCAAACCTATTCAAATGAGTTTTCACGCTAGGCAAGAGATGGACACTTGGCGAGAAGAAATCTTTTAACAAAAGCCAATAAAAATGTTGTCTAAGAACAGTTCCTCATTTCTCTTTTCAGTTAATATTGACTAGCTCCCATCACACTTTGTTCAGCAACCGCCTTTGTACCTCGCGGAAGCTCAAAACCATGAGCAGCCCCAGGAGAAGCGACAGTCGCTCGCTCCTCTGCCGGCTTCCCGGCAGTACAACACCCCCGTGAGCCGCCTTCACCCCGTCCAAGGGTGTCTCTTGGCAGGGGTTTTCCATCTGGGGGAGGCTCTCTCTTTAGTTTTTCTTACTTCAAGCTAAACCTTTTCTCTTTCTTACCTACTCATCAGTTCAGGGAAAACACAGCTGTTTGTCCTCCTTGTGACCTCTTTTAACCTCACCCTCTAGAACACAAGGATTCTGAAGACTGAGTCTAAAGTTAGGGGATGAATACATTTAGCATACGCCCCAGGCCGTCGGGAACAGCCCAGTGCTCAACACACTCGCTGTGACTGTCCCCATCACTGACTGAACTGGTGTCACGGGGCGAAGAAGGGACGGGGCCGTTCCTGGAGGTGACTCCCAGCCTCCCACTTGGTTGTTGTTACTGAAAGTGGCCATTGATAGCCAAACAGATGTTGAATCTCTGACAGTTGAAGACAAAGTCTAGCATGCCTGCTTTCCAAGGTCAGTGGCCTTATTGAGGAAGCAAAGTTGCGTTTGCAAAAACAGCCAACGGAGGAGAGCGTGATGGCAACGAGCAAGGAGTGGAGGCCGCCTGGCAGCTCCCCAAAGGCTCAACACAGAGTGAGCCACAAGCGAGCGATTCCACTCCTGGGTGCACACCCGTGAGGCCGGCAGACCCGCTCCGGTGTGGATAGTTTGAAAGCAGTACACTGAGAAACCAGACACACAAGGCCACCGGCTCTAGGATTCTGTTTCTACGAGATGTTCGGAAGAAGAAAATCACAGACACGGAAAGCGGACGCGTGCTTGCCAGGAGTTGGGGGAGGGGCGACGGAGGGTGACCTAGGCTAGGCGTTGGGGGTTTCTTTGTGGGGTGATGAAAATGTTCTAGAAGTGGTGATGGTGAGGGTCGCACAGCTCTGTGAGCACAGGGAAAGCCATTGAATTGTACATTTTGAGTGGATACATCGGATGTGAACTGCCTCTCAATAAACCTATTGTCTTCATAATGACCATAAGCAAGGAGCTCCAGGTTACGTGGTGGTTTCTGCAGGGCGCCCTGGCCGGCTGGGGCAGGGACCCACGGCAGGGATGCGTTAGCCCAAAGACATCCGGGACCGAGTCCCACCAGCCACAGGTCCTGCCGCTGCCCGGGGCTCGCCTGGGGACATGCACCAGGCAGACCCTTCCCTAAATAAATGAGCGTTGCAGGGCACAAAAGAGCTCTGAGGTCTGACTGCCTTCATCCCAGATCTGTTATTTTATTTTATGTTTGTTTATTTTAGCCTCAATCTCAGTGTCGGTTTCTTCCTTCCTAAGATTAGAATGGAATATCCTTATGTCCTAGAGATATGTAGAGGCTTAAGTACATTAAGTCAAAATATACAAAGCCCTTAGATAGTGACAGGTGCTCTAGAGGACCTCTGTAATTGCTGTGTGGAAGCCATTAGAAATAAGTGTGCTTTGAGACACTCTGGAGAATTTGTATATGTCCCTCGAGATAACTGAAGACATTGTACGGCGTCACGAGGCTTGGTAACCCGTGGCCTGAAATTTTCCTTTCCAAACTCCAACTGAAATCAATCATCAAATAATGTACTGACTGTTGCTACCTCCCTTTCCCCCAAGAATAATTCTTAAAATTTTCTTTTAAAAAAAAAAGATTTTATTTATTTATTTGACAGACAGATCACAAGTAGGCAGAGAGGCAGAGAGAGAGAGGAGGAAGCAGGTTCCCCGCTGAGCAGAGAGCCCGATGCGGGGCTCAATCCCATGACCCTGAGACCATGATCCGAGCTGAAGGCAGAGGCCAAACCCACTGAGCCACCCAGTCACCCCTTTTTTCTTTTTCTTTTTTTTTTTATTTGAAAGAGAAAGAGAGCATGAGGAGAGGGAGAGTCAGAGGGAGAAGCAGACGCCCCACCGAGCAGGGAGCCTGATGCGGGACTCGATCCTGGGACTCCAGGATCATGACCTGAGCCGAAGGCAGGCGCTTAACCAACGGAGCCACCCGGGCGCCCCAGTATTATTCCTTTCTTGAGTAAGAGAACTTCTGGCTCCCAGACACCGTTGTCTGTGTTCTGGAAAGGCAGGCTCTCCACGGACTGTGTTTGTGTCAGAACTCACTTGGAACATTTCTGTGCTCGCCTGAAACAAGTTTGTGTCCAAATAATTTAAAACATCTCTTTGTCACCTGGCTTCAGAGTGACTGAGGACAAACGCATTGTTCAGTCACAGTCGGACACGGTGTAGTTCAACTGCTCTTCTTGGGGTCACGAGTAAGCAGAACGGAGTTTTATTTCCGGTGACATCGGTCATTGTCCTGTTAACCCCGGGGGTGACTATTTCTGGGCAGCCCCACATGGAAGCTCTGGGAAAGCCCCCGGGGGGCTGCTAAGGACAAGGGCACCCACCCAGGTGGGGGCTTCCCCAGCAGCTCTGCCCTGAGTGTTCCGTGGCTGGCCCCAAGCTCGCTTCCAGTTAGCCTGCTGTGAAACGGCAGACCCGGCTCCGGCCGGTCCTCGCTTCTCTTCCACGTGGTCATTTGGAAACGCCTCAGACCGCCCTCTCGGGGGACACGTGGCAAACGTACTATGCAGGTTTTTCAGTTATCCCAGCACCTCCAAGTGCTTTCGTTTCTGCATTATCCAATGTCATCTTCTTCTTCTTGCTTTCAGCCATTTCCTTCAATAGACGATGATGGGGGGCGGGGGCTGTGAATATTCACAGCTAAAACCCCCCGTGGGAGTGAGTGCCGCTTGAGGAGAAATGCATGGTGCGGGTCAGCAGGTTGGAATTTTAGATTCTCATACAGAGCAGAGGACAGTCCCAAAGATTTTCTGTCTGACGCCCTTATAAACCAATAAATCATATCCCTCTGCTGAGCCTGTCCTCGATGCCATCCCCAACCCCAAGGGGCTTGTGGGCGTGACCGGACGAAAGCCCGTCCTGCTGTACCCATAATGCCACGGTCCTTGCTCCCGCCACCTACACGCTCGTCATTGAACTAAGAACAGACCGGGGAAGACTGCTAGTGAGTAGTTATCCCGGGAAATCAGTGAATGTCCCGGCTCCGAATGAGGCTTCATGTAACGCACACATCCTTCATCTCTGCCCCATGCGTCCTCTCCTTTAATTCAGGGCATCACTTCAAAAGGTTGGGGAGGAAAGTAAACGTCTGTTGCGCAACACAGTGTGTTGTCCCAGGAAGAGTGCGAGGGGGGACGAGCCGGGAGAAAGACCAGAACAACTCGGTGAGAAAACATTTGCGGAGACCATTAGAAATGTAACCTGTAAATCCATTTTAGATCATCTGCGGTGGGAGGGGAAGAGAGCACGTCTGCGGAAGTAGCCATTTGTTTGTCCTTAGAACATCCCCAGCCTGTAGAGCAACGACAAACAGCGTGAGCTTCTGGGGTAGCGGGAGATGCGTGTGCAGCTCTCGAGGCCCGGGCGGCAGGAGTCCCACGTGAGCCCGTCCCGTGACCTGCTGACGGGTGGCGGCCTCGTTTCCGCACCGTGGATGGTTCCCCGTGCGAACAGCCAGTTTCTGGAAGTCGGTGGTGTGACCAGCAGTTGCTTTGGAAAGATTCCATCTGTTCCCTAAAATAGCTTTATCTCCGTGAATGATCCCTTCAGCCTTCCTGAGGGATCCGGCCACCCACCTTCTCCACCCTCCGCGGTCACTGTCCGGCCGTTCAGAAACTGTGCGAAGCATTTACTCTATGCTGACCACACCTCGGTGCCGCTGTGTTCCCGTGGGAGCTTCTGCCCCCAAGGAACACCCTCTTCTGATGGAGACAGTCACTATTCCAGAGAACGTTCTAGGTGGAATGAAAGATACTGAGCTTCCTCTGAGGAAAGCAAGCCAAGCAGGGAAGAGGGTATAGTGCGGGGGGCGGGGCGCGATTTCCTAACCCTGTTTAGGGAGACAACTCCCTGAGCCGGGGATCTTCATGCCGCGCCGTGCAAGCCCCTCGGTTGAGGCCGAGGGAGCAGGCGGTGGGAGGAAGGGGCCGGGCGAGCCTGAGGCCCCGCAGGAAGGCCACCATTTCCTTCCACAGACGGCGGAGACGCAGACGGCACCGACCAGGGAAGCAGCAGTGCAGACGCTAACAGGGGTCAGACAGAGGGAATTTTCTAGGTAAAACCAACAGGACTCGCTCCTGACGTGTATGTTGGAATTAAGCAAAAACCTCTCGGGTTGCAGGGCGTAGCACGTGGGAGTGGGGTGTGCGGTCTGGGGGCAGCTGGCTGTGAGCTGCGCCTTCGACGGGCCACGCAGGAGGCCAGACGGCGTGGACCCGTGGGGACCCGTCAGGCTGCCGACCCGCTCTCCCTCCTGCTGTGAGAACACGGTTTGGGGGCCTCTGGGGCTCAGCTGGTGAAGTGGTGAAGCGTCTGCCTTTGGCCCAGGTCATGACCCCGGGGTCTGGGATCAAGTCCCTCGTGGGGCTCTCTGCTCAGCGGGGGGCCTGCTTCTCCCTCTGCGTCTGCTGCTCCCCCTGCCTGTGGTCTCACGCTCGCGCTCTTTCTCTCTCTCTGTCAAATAAGTTAAAACCTTATAGAAAAAAAAGAACATGGTTTAATGCTCAATAAGAGGCTTGGGTTTTCTTTTTTTCTTGATTTTTACGTTTCTTGGCACAAAAATCAAAGAACAAATCACAAAGGAAAACAGAAAATCTTAAGGACTGCTCTCCTGGAAGAGAGTTATGGGTCATCTAAGCATCATAATTAAATACAGTAAAAGAACTTTCACGACTTTTCAAAAAAATCCGTTTGTTCCTACATGAACACACCTCTGCCACATCAGCAGACGGTGACCGCAAGGTCTCCCCCGCATTCTTCTGTGTTTGCCTGAAAACCAGGGTCCCTGAGTCTCTACCACAGGCCAAGGCAGTTCCCGGTTCCCAAATCAAGGCTTGTGTC